CTCCCTCTCTAACACACACACACACACACACACACACACACACACACACACGGAGAACAGTAAATGTTCAGGTATGGAAATTTGAATAGATTCCCAACTAAGGAGGTAATATAATTTCTGCAGAAAACAGAAATAATTCAAAACTTTATAAAGGCTTGAAACAATGTTTTTATCTGACCGTGATCAATGCTTCAATGTGACTGAAAATATCTCATACAGGTACTCCTGGACTTACAACTGATTGCTTAGTGACCATTCAAAGTTATGATGGATCCTCCAAAAGGTACTTGCACCTCACTTCCAGAGTTCCAATGGCTGGGCACTCCCCACAAATGCACTTGAAATGCATGGCCTGACAATGTTTGGGATCATGTCTTGACCATAATGTCTCCTTCTTTTGACGTGGCATAATTATGTTGATAATATTTTATTTTACTATTTTATTTTTGCTCATCATGCAGTCTGCCAGATGTTCAGATTGAATTTTGCATTTTTGTCTACCTAGAAAACCTTTCTCAAGGACCTGGGACAGGCAGATGTGGATGTTTAATGGTGTTAACAGATAACATCGCAGGATGTAACTGCCTTTTGCAACTGACCAATGGGGAATTAGTCAAAGCCAATAGTGTTCAAGTGGTGCTCCAAATGTATTGGCATTGCACCCAGGGTGCCTAAAGCACCATTTGAACACCAGGGTCATTGAGGTGACTACGACTATTTCAGTTGCTATTTTAAACAAACGTCAATATTCACGTGATGAACTGGGAGAGGAGAATAATCTGGTGTTCCCCCAGGCCCAGTATAACCCCAAATGGTGTTCAGGTTTTGCACTCAATACCGATCGTGTTCCAAGTGATGCTCCAAGGTCCTTGGATGCAATCCCTAAACAACTGAAGCACCATTAGAACACCATTGGCATAGTGGTGGGATTCAATTTTTTTTACTATCGATTCAGTGGGCGTGGTTTGATGGGCGTGATGTGGCTTGGTGGGCATGGCAAGGGAAGGATACTGCAAAATCTCCATTCCCTCCCCACTCCAGGTGGAAGGTTACCGACGGTTCTTCGAACTACTCAAAATTTCTGCTACCAGTTCTCCAGAACTGGTCAGAACCTGCTGAATACCACCTCTGCATTGGCATGGGCAAATTTATTTTTATTTTTACAATGTAGTACCTTGCCATTCTCACCCCAGAACAGTTTAGAATTTCTGCCAGCTTCTCTAGTGAGTTGTAGGAAACTGTGAGAATTTAAAAATAGGAACATCTGACCTCCTGTGGGCTAGGCACAGATCTCAGGGATCACCAAACTCATAATTTTAAGGCGTGGACCGCTAATATGAATTTTGACTGACGGTGGCTTGCTGACGTTGGTGGGAAAGTCGGTCCCATATTCCAGAGCTGCAGTAGTCACTGGACTGGCCCTTTGGTCATCCCGGAGCAGCTGCTCCTCCACCCGGGTGCACCGGCCTGCCATGGACTGGAGGAGCTGCTCCAGGATGACCAAAGGGCCAGTCTTCTGACTACTGCAGCTCTGGAATATGGGACCGACTTTCCCACCAACATCAGCAAGCCACCTCAGGGTGGATTTCCCTCCCCCATCATTAGTCTTACCTTCCAGTTCCAGCTTGCGTGGCTCTGCTCAAGATAAGGTTTGCACTCGGTCGAAGGGTGGGGGCCAGCAGGTGAGCAGGCCATGTCGGTAGTGCAGCTTTGTGTTCCCATGGAGCCTGGATTGCTTTGGGGGGGGGACATTTCTCTGGGGACCACCCGATTTTTTTTGCAGATCACCAGTAGTCCCCGGCCCACCAGTTGGCGACCACTGGGCTAAAGCATCCCAGAGAGATCCAATTTTTACTCCATCTGCAGCCACAGCAGCTCATTTAGCAACTTGCAGCACAACTTACTAAACAGGGTTGTTGAAGGAGGATGGAGCACTACCAATGTGCCTTGAGTTTCTGAACAAAGATGGGATGTACACACAGCCTGTTTGTGTGGCTGGAAAGGGGCACGCAAAGCAATAAAAATATTGAGGCTTTTCTTCATGCATCTTAAATATGTTGCTTCTTTAAGAACCATATGATGATTCCTTACTACGGAGGGAGGGAGGGAGGAAAGGCAAGACTGGCAGGAAACTCACAGAATCAAGATGTCCATTAGATGACCACAGCAGGAGCCCAACCACAGCTGCAGCCACAAATCCCCCAAATTTCATGGGAATGACCCAACGTCGTGGGTCCTGGATTTGGGGCAAATTCTGTAAGTTAGCCAGTGCAAGGTACCTTGATTGAAAAACTGTTGCCCTATGATTCACCATTTCATTTAGTTAATGGTAATGACAAGAAACTTAGTCGTACATAGATCAGGGGTTGGCAACAATGGCAACTTTGTGACCTGTGGACTTCAACTCCCAGAATTTCTGAGCCAGCAGCATGACTTGAGTATCAATATTGTCATCATAGGTAATGTGCTTGTGAAGAGAAACATATTTTGGAATCCATTCCATGTTATGGCATCTCTAGTGGGAGAGGCAAGAACATCATTTTTTAAAATTTATTTATATGATTTCTGTATTCGCCCATCTCAGCAAATTACTCTTATGGCTCACAATTCAGGATTTTCTCAGGATCTCCTTGAATGAATATTGTGCTGCCCCAGCCAGTCTATGGGAATTGGATAGTTACTTAGGAATTATGAGCTGTCCCCTAAAGGGAATGCATCATGGTAAATGTAGTTAAAGGTATCCTGGGAAATGTAGTTCATGTCACGTGGCCACATCTGTAATCCTGATTGGTCACTAAATTGACCCTCGAGGGGTTGGGGGAGGCTTCCCTCCATTCTTGCCTGCACTCATGAACTGATAGTAGCTTTTCTACTGCTATGAGATGGGTTAGGAGATAACCATCTTTCACCTACAAGGCAGATATACAAAGGGATTGGTCATTAAAGAAGAACTTTGTCACAAACGTGAGTAATGAAGGTACCTGACGAACCAATAAATGTTCTTTGTTATGGACGTCTTGTTGAGTTATCTCTCTGCATCTGTACAGTTTATGAATCCACCTCCGTACAAGATACAGAAAAAATATAATTGACACTCATGTCACAATGTGTAAAAGCTTCAGATATGTATAAAAAATAAATTAACAACCTATAATAGCTTGAATAAAAGGTGCTATATTGATTTAGAAAGCTAAAATATTATCTAACTATGAAATGAGGTTATCTAAGTTGACAGAAGTAGTATTTATATTATGTGTTACCTGGCATTGGTTTTGGATACTTTGCTCATATCCAAACAAGGCTTCCATCTAATTTAGTCCTTTTACATTTTCAAATCATTTTTATGCTCTTTATTCCTTCTATAAATTTACATTTCTGAGGCGCTCTTTTGTCTTAAGCCAAGCTGTGGTTTAATTGTATTGTAATATCTTCCCCAATATTCTAGTCCCCACCCCCTCAGTAAATGCAATCTGGATGGAGATACTATTCCTATAGAAGTCTTATGTTATGACTTCTTCATTCTATTAATGCAGTGTTTCTCAACCTCATGTTGGGTGGACTTCCACTCTCAGAATTTCTCCAGATAGCATACTGACTAGAAGAATTTTTGGAGCTGAAATGCCCAGCTTAAACTTGCAGAGGTTGGAAACACTGTACAAATGTTTTGCAAAAAAGAGGATGCATCATTGTCAATCACTATTAATCAATGATTCAGTAATCTGTTCTATTACTCTCTGAAAACCTTTTGTACCCATTCAAGAAACACAACACTGACTGGCTGTGATTTACCTGCTACTGTCTAGTAAGTCATTACTTCCTTTAGAATGCCAAGGTGCCGTTTATTTTTATTGTAGTAAATTGCTTACACACTCACTTGAGTATTTATTTACTTCTTTCTGTTGCCTTTGTTCACCAGTATCTATATTTCAATCAAAAGCTCCTGGTTTAGAAATTAATTGTTGGTTAATTTTATTAGGTAACACACTATGTCAATTGAGAGCATTGTTAAATAATTAGACATCTATTTTCAAGTTTTAATGCAAGATATTTATTGCAGAAGCAAAACATTTACATGAAAATGCAAGGTTGCAGGAAATTCCAGCAAGTTTGCAATTAGCAGATTTACATAAAAATAAGTCTCTGAGTTTGATAGGACATAATATACTTCTAAATTATTATGCTTTGTGCTGGGTAGTGGAATAATGGAATAATGAATGGAATAATGAATGGAATAATGGAATAATGAATGGAATAATAACTGAAACACTGATGGAATAAGGAATCTGAACTATAACTGTAGAGAAATGTATTGAAAGAAATATAATTAATGAGGTCATATCTGAGCTTTAGAGCATCCAAATATACTGTAGAAAATGCACTGTTGACAGAATATATTTATGTATAACAACTGGCATTAGCTTAACTTTGAATTTCTTTGAAAATTAAATTGTTTAATGGATCAAATATTTAAATATTCACAAAGAAATAATTTGATTATTTCACAAAGACCATTTATGTTGCTATCCTTATTGTACAAATATATTAATCAGAATGATTACTCCACTGTACTTGTCTGTTTTTAGCAAAGAATCTAATGCTTATAAACTTTGAAGCAGAATTGGCTTTAAGTGTTAAAATCAAGATGAAAGTTTACCCAGAAACATTAATTAATTGTATAATGAGTCCTTGCTGGAAATGAAGATATGTTCTATACCCAAAACTGGGCAAAGAGAATTGGAGAGTGTCCCTAAGTTTTCTAACCACTACTAAATGTTGAATTTATAGAAGCTGATACAAGATAAAGAAAAGTTATAAGATGCAAAGATGGTGAAAATAAGGTTTGCCAAACAGAGAGCGCTTTTGAAGGATCTTTGAAGGTGATGAGGCAAAATTCTAGGACGAGCTAATAAAGGCGGGAGGGAATCTCAACTACACCAAAATTCTTGATTGAAGTTCTTTAAGAATGCAGGTGATGTGATTCAAGGCCTCACAGGCTAATTTCACAACCAATGGCGCCTGATCTCCATAGCACAAACAAGTGCTCTCAATTTCTTATTGCTGTACGGAGGATAGCGTATTTTGTTCATTAGCTCCATGCCCATGCAACGCAAAAGACAGCCACGGAAGTGAGTAAACGTATCGAAAGAAAATTTGCCATGGTATTGGCCAAAGCCACTGTGTCCTGCAATATTAAAAAGGAAAAATTCAGATCAAATCTAGTTATTCTTTTTCATCAGGCTGGAAATATCTGTCCTTAAAAAGGTTTTTCCCCATAGTACTTAACTATAAAAGGTTTCATATTCAAATGGATATTTTTAAAGAAGAGACTAAAGAAGAGAATTCAGTAGAGACAAGCAAAGCTTGATTAGATAATAATTTGGTAGCCTGCTAGGTTTCATGATCATTGAACTACAGCTGCCTTAATCTACAATAAAATTAAACTACTGCTTTTTTTGTTATCATGATATCTAAAAATTAAACAGAAGTTAAAGATGCACATCAGTTCAACCATGTTTTGTAGCCAAAATGCAATATTGATTTATACAGAATATTAACCTATATTTAGTATAGTGCATTGGTAGGATTCAACATTTTTTACTACCAATTCTGTGGGCATGGCTTGGTGGTAATGGCTTGGTGGGCATGGCAGGGCAAGGATACTGCAAAATCTCCATTCCCTCCCCACACCACTAACCTTCTTTCCAGCTCTGTTCTCCTGTGCAGGGCAACAAAAGAAGACCCAGCCAATCAGCTGGGACTCGGGAGGCAGAGAATAGATGGGGGCAGAGCCAGTCAGAGGTGGTATTTGCCGGTTCTCCAAATTACTCAAAATTTCCACTTCCAGTTCTCCAGAACTGGTCAGAACCTGCTGAATACCACCTCTGGTATAGTGTGTGACCAGGCCTATTGAACCAGAACTACTTAATCCCGTTGAATATTTTTGATCTTGTTAGTAGTACTACTTACAAAATAAAAAATGCAAGCCTTCTCTTTTTATTCCCATTTACCAGTATAATGTAGTCCACATTTCCAGCCATCTCCTTTATATATAAATGACCACGTAGCTTACGTACAGTGGGATATTTATTATTTGATCACATTTGATTTAATCTGCAAATATGTTGGACATAGTAAAAAAAAAATGGACTCTTAATGTCTTTTTCTGAATGAAAAAGATCAAGTGGGAGAACTTTTCATGTTGGAAGGTAAGGATAAGCCTGCAGGGTGGGAAATGGAGACAGTTTAGAAGATAAAAGGCTAATCTTACCTATGCCACCATATGGTAGGGAAACCGATGTTGCCTGCAAGCCAACATCGTTACCGCAAAAGCCACCACTGCTAGTGTGATCCAGTACCTGGTTCACAACCTATGAAGAAAAAAAGAATAGAAGAGTATTAGGTGCCCCATCCTTAATCTTCCAAACACGAGTTCCATCAGGTCCCAGGTCTATAATAATAAGGGTCACGATACAAACAACGGTCTTTAACCTTTGGGCCACTACAAACATTTGGAATTTGAAAATGTGCCACAGACACACTCACAAAATGACTAATATTGTAGATGTATTAGGCATTTCCTAAAAGTAAATTGAAAGGCAAAAATAATCTTTATGAATCTTAGTAAAAAATAATAATCAAGAGATTGAAAATGCACGTGACCTTTTTTAGAGTCATCCACCCTGATTTCTAATTCCATGTGCTAATACAGAGCCAAGAGTGAGGCATGGAAATAAAAATCACAAGTTTGGTTAACATAATCAATGCTCTCACTCGAGTCTAGGACAACTCACCACAGCCAGATCGGCATGGGTAGGTGGATGGGCGCGACCAGATGGGCACAGATGGGTGGGCATGGTGGGTCAGCACAGAGTGTGCATGTCCATGTTGGCATGGATGACTTGGTACAGATGACTCATGGCGGACACAAATGAATGGGCATGGCCAGGTGGGCATAGATGGGTGGGCAAAACCTGGTTGGCATAGAACAAGTTTCCACAGCCAACTGGGTGTGAGGACAACTTAGTGCCTCACCAGAAGAAACATCAACCCATAATGTGCACTAGAGTACTGTAGTGGTCAATCTGCCGCCCCTGAGAACAATTTCCCCATTATCCTCTTCTTCCTTCTCTGGCTGAACCTGGCCCACCTTGCCAGCCTGGCTACTCCTGAAGGAATGCATCATGTAAGGCTCCCCCACCCACCCACAGCCAGCTAGTGTTTCTGCATAGTCCCAAGCCCTCAGCAACCACCCGCCTGCTTTCTGCTCTTCTCTTTTCCTTGGAGAGTTGCAGAAAGAACTATGGCATGCTGATCTGCCAAGTGGAGAAGAACCCTAGGCAACTAGGCAAGTGTTTGTTGAGGGCTTGAGCCAACAAGGGACCTCTAGACAGCTTCCTCGATGCATCCCTTAGGAGCAGCCAGGCAGGTGAGGCAAGGGGGGCCAGGCCAGGCCTGGCCAGAGGAGGAGGAGGAGGAGGAGAAGGAAGAAGGCAAATGGGAAAGTTGTTCCTGGGGGCAGTGGATTGACCACTGCCAAATTCCAGTGCATGTTAGGGGCTGATGTTTCTTCTGGTGGGACACCTGGTTGTCCCCACATGCAGTTTCCTGGGGCAACTTGTTCCGTGCCAATTGGGTCATGCCACCCATCTGCACCCACCTAAGCAATGATGAGTCATCCTCACCAAGTCATCCATGCCAACTTGTTTGCGCCGACCGCCTTGTTCCACACCAAGTGGGTCGTACCCACACACCTGGGCCAAGTCAACCACTCCGATCTGATCATGATCACCCATCCATACCCACCTACCATGTGCCAACCTGGCCACTGTGAGTCATCCCATTCTACTCTCAACCAAGGCTTTTACATCATAAACTCAGGAGTTTCTCTCAACGTCTCTGTTCCCAGATAAAGAGAAAGACTGTGCTTTTAAAATGCATAGGAGACTCTTGAAGTATAGAGCAAAAATGTCAGTGCCAAATTGTGAGGAGAGGGGAAGGGGGGGAATCTCCCCATTAGCTCTGATAAATTGTTGAAATTACCTCCAAAAGGCTGGGGGATGTCCAGGGACAAAGAAAGAAAGGGCTTTTCTTCAGGAATCCAGTGCAATTGGAATCTAGAAGATTGCAAACCTCCAAAGGATTCCATGTGCCCCAGAATGTCTGCACAGGAGCTCTTATGGTACAGTAGAAGGGAAAACATTACTATCCATACCAGAACAGCATAGAGAAATTGTTACCTCTTCAGCAATGGACTGGTGGTGAGAGGGAGGCTATTTTTTTACAATATAATCTTTAAAATGGTACTGTGATTTGCATTATGGATGCGTAGATGAGCCAATTATTTTTTAACATTGCCTTATTAGTAAATAATCAAGGGTAGAATTGGATCATCCAGACTGTATTACCAGTGGGCAAAGAATTGCTACCATGTTGGTTCATCACGGTTTACCACATAAACATATTTTGAAAATAGTGCAAGTCTTCCCTTTTGGCCACCATGGATGGGGTTATGGGAATCCAGCTTCTCCCACATATAGTATGCTGTACCTAAACAGTATACCTTGCAGTCAGAGGAGAAGGCATACACAGCTAGTGGACGTTCTCTGCAATTGATGAAATCTATGGCTTCTTCCATATCTCTCACAATGAATATTGGCAGGATGGGTGCAAAAATTTCCTCCTGCATGACTGGATCGTACTCTTTCACATTCACCAACACTGTGGGAGCTGTAATGGGCAAAAAATCACATAAAGATCTGTTTCTTTTATGTATTATAACTTTATTGTCCAACTTAACTAGAGTTTTAGCTTTCTCCATGACTACATTTCCAATACGCAACCCCCCAAAACATGTCTGTCTTCTTGCTTTATTTAAAACAGCCAGCTCATTAAACTTCAACTTTCAAAATTACCCTGTGTGGCCAATGACAATTAAAGTTCAACATATTCTGTAAACACCAACTTGGAAGGGTGATCTAAGTCTTAAATCTCTGATAATACACTTCTTAATAAGCTTGATTGATTCTATGCCACCATCCTTTTCAACTCCTAGTGACCACACAGTTTTTATCCATTGTACATAGATAAGTAGTACAGCTAGTCCTTGACTTATGATAGAAATTGACCTCAGAGTTATAAATTGTGGTCAATTATATAGTTGTAAATTGTGCCTGTCATTGAGCAAGTCATAAATTGACAGACTCAATTTTACAGACTACTTTTTTTGCAATGATAATTGTGAACGTAAAGATCCTTAAGCAAACTTAGCAATTGTGTTAAGCAAACATAGTTTGCAGTTGTGTTTTTTGCCAGAAGTAAATGCTAGTTTCAGGGGGGGGGACACACATCATGGTGATCACATCAACACAGGGTACTGCAGGCTGGTTGTCAGGTGCTCAAAAGGCAATCACGTCACCACAGGTTGTAAGTATTTTTGGGGGGTCCTTTGTAATTTTTGAATGGTTGATAAATAAGGACTTCTTATAATCACAACATGTCTTCCTGTCTTTCCCAAACTCCAAATCTAGTCTTCCTCCAGTCCTAAGTTGTGTACTCACCAATGTAACGCTCACACTCATCGGTCTCTCCACCAATGGCCACATGGCCACATTCCAGCAAAGCTCGGGCACGCTGGAACTGCTTGTCATTGATCATGCGGCCAAAATCAGGTGATTCCTTGGGGTCATGGCCAAAAAATTCACAGATAGCTTGGCGCAGGCAAGGCAACAACTTTTCTTGTGCTTCAACTGTACAGATCACATAATCTGGTGCAATGCATGTCTGTCCAGCATTGATGCATTTTCCCCATACAATTCGGTTGGCTGCATTCTGGAAATTGCAGCACCTATCCACATAACAGGGACATTTCCCCCCCAGTTCTAGACTCAGTGGTGTCAGATGTTTTGCTGCAGCAGTCATGACGATCTTTCCTACATGGTTATTCCCTATAGAGATATGGCAAAATTTGGATCAAGAGAGATATACAGCATAACTCCCATCCAGTACCAGAGTTCACAATTCTGGGCTCAAAAACCATCTGTGTTGTTTTTTCCCCCTCTAACATTCTTCCATACAGATCTGCAAAACTCCACACAGATTTGTTGTTGTTTTTTAAATTCATTAATAGTTGGCAAAACAACTGATTTCAGTGTTTCCTACATTTTATTTCATCCAATTTTGTTTTGTCTGCAAAATTGATAACTCTTCTTTCCACTTCCTCATTTAAGTTACTGAAAAGTATCAGTTTAGAGCTAGAATGTATTAGGGATCGTCCATTAAAATCCCATGTCAAACTGTTGTCAAATTCCTGTTAAGTATTGTTAAGGTAACCTTGAGCTGTTCTGGCAGTGAAAGAGAAAAGCAGAAAATCTGAGAAAATTTATGTGGGTTGAAATGAAGTACATTCATTGTGCGGGGAAGAAACCAAAACTGATCCTTTTCATTATTTCCAATAGCTGAAGTTCTGCATCAAGCATAGGCTTTTTCCTACTTACAGTATGACTACTCATCTTTTCTACCAGTTGTGGGCAAGATCTACAATCTGGAAGCTGTTGACAGGCAAAGTTATAAATCCCACATGCAACAGTTTTCCTGGCCTAATCTGCCATTAACTCAGATAGACGGATAAAGCTACTTAACCAAGAATCAGAGCAAATTGCTCAATATGCAGTGCTTTCTAGAAAGGCAATGAACTGCAGAGATAAATTTTACTGCCCATGGGGGCAGGATACTAAACCATGATTTTAGAGAAATTATCTGAAGCTTTCAGTTTCAAGGATGCTGCAAACAACTGTAAATGCAGGGCAGTTGTGGAATGCCCCAAAAAGCAATGAATATTGCTTACTACACTGTTTTGTCCAGACATTAATGATGAATATTTTTAAATACAACTAAAAGAACATGAAACGGATATTCAAGAAGAGAAAATTACCTGTATAGAAGATATAATCAAATTTATTTTCCAGTAATTTATCAGTTTCTTCAGGACCACCTGTCACCACAGCAAAGGTTTGCTATAAAATAGAAAAGTTCATATTCAATCAAACTAGCCTCCACATCACACAGGTGGAGTTTTCTGTCCCTGAAACACGGCAAAAAGCCTCTTGTGGGCAATTTGGAACACAGAAATGATGCAGTAAATTGAAAGTAACTAAGATTTTTCTTAAACATTTTAATTTTAAAATGAGATGTTTGCTTTTGGTGTATGGTAATACAGGTTGTCCTCAACTTATGAATGTTATTGAGCCTGGAATTATATTTGTAAGTGGTGCTGATTAAGTACATGATCACATGATTATGTCTGACTTCATGACCTTTATTTACAGCAGTCATTAAGCAAATGCAGTGGCTATTAAGTGAATACATTGTCTGCAATGGGTGTTTTTTGTCAGAAAACACAGATTTTCAGCAAGAAAAACCATAAATTCCTAACATGCAACTGCCGGATGCTGCAAACAACTGTAAATGCAGGCCAGTTGTGGAGTGCCCAAAAATGCAATTATTAATTTCTGTGTGGGGGTGGAAAAGAAGCTGTGCCTGACCATCGGAACTTCAAATCTGGCTTGTAAATAGTTCTGGGATGACTGGTAGGATTCCTTTTTTTATTTTTGTCTAATCTTCCTATGAGAGTGGAATTGTCTTACATTCATAGTAATTTCCTAGCCTCATTCTTCCTCAAATTATCCCAAAATGGGTTTCCATTAAAATAACAATCTATAGTCAGTTTACCACCCTCAGAAGTTTACCATCCACCACAATCCAAAAGAAAATTTGGGAATGGGGGATTTCAAATGAGCTGGATGGTTGTAAATAATCTGACTCAGCTTCCAAAAATACATCACAGTTTGAAATTAGTTCAGAACCAGAGGGTTTTTTTTATTGTTGTTTTGTTTTTGAAGGGGGAATTACAGTTAAAATGTCTAGGAAATTAAGGCAAATGGCAGAGGAAAAGGCAAATCCAAAACCCTCTGTTTCATTCTGATTTCTTAACAACAAAGTAAATTGGAAATGATGAACTCACTGGATCCATATAACAAGGCAATGCTTTTGCAAGGAGCCTTTCGGTGCAGCTGCTTAATTCTGAAGGCTTGAGAACCACACAATTCCCTAATATGGGGAGAAGATACTTTACTGAGGTTGCAACAGATAAACAGCCATCACATGTCTGTATCTCTTGGAAGAACACAAAGGAGATGTAATATCTAAAATGAATTGGAGATATAACTTGTTACTCACCAGCTGCAATGGCACCCACAAGGGGCATCAAAGTAAGATGGATAGGATAGTTATAGGGTGCAATGATCAGCACCACACCATATGGATCCTTGCGAATGAAGGCACAATCCATCAGTGTCAACTATAAAAGCAAACAAACAGAAAAATCCATGACAGCAATTGGGTGAAGTAGAAAAGGAAATTAATAGATTATTTTGTAAGAGTGGAAATGCTTGATGAGCTACAAAATATAAAGCCATTTGATGCCTGCTTTCAAAATAATAATTGCAATGCATATGAGTTAATATTGTTTATCCTCTCCTTTGTCTTTTTTTTTTTTAAGGCAAGGCTTTAATACCACAGACATTTGAAAACCTGTGCCAAAGTGTTTTCATTTTCAGTCATGTATGCTTGATTTGTTTGGCTAATATGTTTAATATCTGTAAGATTCCATCTCAATATTTACACCACGTATTTCTGATATAAAAAAGAACTCCCCCTGCTAATTGATTATGAGTGTTTATTTTGTTTCAGCTTGGGGAACTGACACAAACACAGATGCATTATACACTTCCCCTCCAGGAAGCATAGTAGACTATATCATGGAAGGGAGGGTCCAAAATAATGATCAATTTTAGAAGTCGTATGAATTGTGAAGAGTGTATTTTTTATATTTGGAGGAGAGGGTTAAGGAATGGAAGGACCCCATTAGGCTTCAAACTTTAAACCTCCAACTTTCCCCAAACCCATCTAACAACTGCAACTCAACTACATGTAAATTTAATACCAAAATCAAGGGGAAAGGCCAAAATGTTTGATCTTATGACACATTCCACAGGGCTCTGAGGACATCAGGGAGCAATATCATTGACTTTATGTCAAATATGGGATTTTAAAAATTATATTGAAGGTCAATCTCCATGATGGTTGTAAGGAACTTGTATCAGTTGTAGATAGGGCCAAAGAAACCATTCAGGTTAGGGCAAATCCAAGCATGACTATGTTAATGATCTATCACTGTTGTTGTATGTACATTGAGAGTTGCACCAGAAACAAATTCCTTGTGTGTTTAATCACACTTGGCCAATAAAAAAATTCTATTCTATTCTATTCTATTCTATACATGGGGTGATTCATTCTGTTCTTTTCTTCTTTGTGGCACCCCCTTTTCTCTCTCTTCTAACAGTAGGTTTTGCAACTGCTGTTATTCCTACTAAAAGCTTGAATCAACACCTTGCAAAGAACTCTGAAATCAGGCCATTGGCTTTACATTCCTACATTTGCCTAAATATGCACGTAAAACATAAGAATAATTTCACACATAACACTTAAAACATTTTAATCTCTCTTGCACTGTGCACTGATGAGATTGCTGATCATACAGACTAGAAAGCAAACAATAGATATAGGTAACTAGGATTAACTGAAATATGAAGATTATAATTTGATTTATTTGAAGGGTAGTACATTGGAAAAGTCTGTTCTAAAGCAATGCGACTTCAACTAATTTAAACTGGAGTGCAGAAATTATCCTTAAAAAGCAGCAGGAACTTGTTCCTCTGATGGCAGAAAAAGTATGGCCTTAAAAACCCTCATTTGGAAGTTGCCCCAGAACCTGTATATATCAATAACATAATATCAACCTGTTACATGAAATTACAGATCTGGTAATTCCCAAATACCATGGGAAGGGTAACAGGTAAGGAAGACAGAAAATTAAAACTCCAATAGCTAGAGATTTGTCTTCCAAGATGAGCATCCACCTGTTTTGAAAGGAACACAGGTAGAAAGCCCATCTTCTGTTTGATGAAATAATGCATCCTGTAGATTTTCATCCCAGTCCAACATAGAACCATTCCTTTCCATTTGTTCTTCACCCATTCTGTTTAACTTCTTACTAGATTCTTGTGCACATTTTCATCCTTCATCCAGTAGCTTAAGTTGTTAAGAGCGTTGGCCAGTTCATTTCTGACCAACAAAACCTCCGTGAACTCAGTTTCAAAGCAGGGCTGGGGAAGAGAAAGACAAAACAAGATGTATCAGTGATGTCTATACTGAGTATAAGAAGTGAACTGTGAAGCAATTCATCGAGCAAAGTTGTGTCCCATTCAGCACATATTCCTTTATCATGCTATCATCCCAATTGATTCCAGAAATTGAATGTTTGAGCTTTACACCAGGACATGATACTAAGCTTAGTTCAGTACTCTTTACAAGAGGTAGATAGAGTAGTATCTTATAGCAGTTCATTTTGTGACCGTTCAAACTTACAACAGCCCTGAAAAAAGTGACTTATGACCATTTTTCACATTTAATACCATTGCGGCATCCCCTTAGTCACATGATCAAACTTCAGATGCTTAGCAACTGGTTCGTATTTATGACATTTGCAGTGTCCTGAGGTCATGTGATTGGCTTTTGCAACTTTCTGACAAGCAAAGTCAATGGGGAAGCCCAATTCACTTAATACATGGAACCAACTTAACACCTTCAGTGATTCACTTAACAAATGTGGACCAAAAGGTCGTGAAATGGGGCAAAATTCACTTAACAAATATCTCACTTACCCACAGAAATGTGGGGCTGATCGTAAGTCAAGGACTACCTGTATTTAACCCTTAATCAGGCAGAAGACTTGCAGACAAACTCAATTGCAAATGAAGCCATATATTGTCAAATTATTCACTATGCAAAGAAATCAAAGTCTTGATAAGTTTAGACTTTTTCTGCCCACTTTTCTGAGATAATATATATTTGGCTGTACTCAATCATTTTAGGAGAATGGTCAACTATGTTTACATAACGATTTTCTGTAGACTGATAATTGCTACTTGCCACCTTGCTAAATTCAGCTCTCATGGCCCATACATTGTTTCCTGTTCATAACTTTTTCATGGGAAATCCAGCAAAGAGAAAAATGGAATAGCTGCGCCTTATCTATTATGGCAAACAGGTCCATCTGCAAGTTCCCTCTGAGCAGCCAGAGGCTCTGGATGGGAGGCTTACTCACCTTGTGTAGGTCTGCACACAGGGCATGCTGGATATCTACGTGCCTTTCATCCAGAAAGTGGCATAGGGCCTCCAGTTGATGGATCCGATATTCTTTTGGACATGTCTTTCCTGTCAGCCAGGTAGCACGTAAGCAGTGCACTAGGTCAGCGTAGGGGTTTGTACTAGGACAAAACAAAAACTCTTGGAATCAAAAGAGTTATAGAGGAGTCCCACTCTTTTTATCATTTATGTTAATCCTGATCCTGCAAGGCAGAGTGTGCCCTGGAAGAACTGGATGGATAATCATGTTGTCTTTCTTTACTTTACTAACAAGAGTCTGGGAATTTCTGCCATGACTCAATACCTTTTTGGCTTCCCAACACTTCATACAAAGACTTCTACTTCAGAGAAGACTCAAAATCATATTTTCCCCTTTGACCCACACTTGTCTCATTCTTTTTCTAAAGAATGTCATCATCTTGGGCCACAAGCAAGAATATATGCTGCCATACTTTTCTCATAGTTTTCTTACAAACTCAGGTGGTCATTTGCAGATACTAATCAAAGTATTTTCTTTCATGTTTGGGATCAAAATATAAAATGTTGATGTAGTGGAACATAATCTAACTTCTTAGGACAATTGTATCCTTGCTCGGGCTTCCAGCCAGTCATACTCACTTCTAGCTTGAAGCAACTTGCCCCAATCTAGTATCCTTTACAAGAGGTAGTTCACAATTCCCATCTTCTCCAACTACTCGTGATTTTGACCCTTTTGTCAGTCTCTCTGCTGTTTTATATGCCAAGCAGTATCTGCATTATAGACCCTCTCTCAGGCATGGCCTTTTGCACATACACTGCGCTCAACCTCTCTTCCTTTTCCTCCCCCTGTCCCGGATGAAAAAATAGTGTTCTTTTAAAATATGAGAACTGCACTCTGGGGCACAGAGCCAATTTTTTATATGTCTGAATTGGGAAAACAAATGGAGCATACTATCTCTTTATCCGTTCTGATAAATGGCTAAATTACCACATTAAGTCCAGAAACAAAAAAGCAGAGGACATTTCTTCAAGATTCAGGTTATTAATAAGAAACAGATAGCTGGTTTAGTTAGATATTGCATGAAGTTGCAAGTTCTTTCATTTCTGTTATAAAATTTTTTATGCTACTCTTATTTCACTACACAGGTGTGCATTCTATGGGTTTTCAGACAGAGTCCAAGATTTACTTTATAAAATTGAGAGCTGATGTATAACTTGAAAGCTACCCTCCTCCTAAAATCATTAATTACAGCAGATCAGCCACAACCTGTAATTTGCTACAAGCATCCTATATTTTTTGTGTAAACCAGGCTTATGGATCATATATTCTGAATATTTTTTTTAAAAAAAGTTTAATTTTATTTTTTATGAGATTGACAACCGAGATGATCCATTCTGGTCCAGAATGCAGCTGTGTGCACAGTATTATGTGTTCCAAGGGTTACCCATGTTATATCTCTATAGCCCAAGCTGCACGAGCTTCCAGTTTCCTTCTGGATGCAATTCAAAGTGCTGGTTATCACCATTAAAACTGTACATGTCATAGGGCCTGTTTATTTGCAGAATTGCCTCTCCCTAAGAGTATCTGCCTGTCCTACCATATCTGATAGGCATTTTATCCCCTGAAATTCTATCACCTCATGGGACTTCAAAAGTGTGCCTTTTCCATGGCTGCGCCTACTTTATGGAACACTCCATTCTTTTTAGCTTCAGAGAAGGTCATCAAGACCATTTTTTAAAACTCCAGAAACAAGAATAGAGCAGAATAGAATAGATAGAATGAAATTAGGTACGGTAATTGGAACTGGCTGCAAAGCAACCAAAGTGTAAGATGCAGGATTTTTGCTTTTGTTTGACAATTTTATTATTTCATGATTATGTTTTACAGTTTTTATTTTTATTTATTTTATTTATTTATTTTGTCGAGCATGCATTTGATAATATATATAAGTATAAACATGATATTGCTGTTGTGAACAGCCCAGAGTTGTTTAAGACAGGTAATCATACAAATCTTCTAAATAAATAAATAAAATCCCTTTATAAATGAAAGCTTGATCTGCCTTACCTATAAATTAATTTAAGTTCTCCATAGCACTTTTTTTTTTCTAGTACAGATACCAAAAGCCTGAACAAAGCTTGTCTGTTAAAGGAAGAAGAGTGCAGGTAAGCAGCAGAGCAGTTTGGCCAAGGACAAGCAGACTGTACATAGAAACCTACGGATTCAGATCAGGTTGATGCAACTCAACTGCTACATCGAAATAATTACTTTCACAAGAGTTCCTATTGTGAGATTAGGGCTGTTGAATCCCATTGGTTTGTTCACGTTGGCTACAAAGAATTACAAAATACCTTTCAAGTCAGTGAGCAGTGATAAGCTGCCAAGATGTTTGCAGAGCCTTCCTTGAACAACTACAATTCAAATGCCTGAAGTTTGCTAGAGTTACAGGTGTCACTCTGCATTTCCCAAGCTTGGGGACGAAGTCCATTGCTTTGTACCAGGGAAAGTAATTCATGCAGAAGAATAGTTCATATAGACAGCCATTACAATGATCTTTACAAATGCAAGATGCTTTTATCATGCATCACTCATTTTCTCAGTTACCCTGATTATTTTTATTTGCCTGACATTGCATTCTGCACAATAGGCAGGCAGGCAGGATGGACAATGATTCCAAGAAGAGATGAGCAATGTTGGAAAGAAGCAAGACAGAAACTATTGAATGACTGCCTATTGCAGGTAATCCTCAGCTTGCAAGTATCTATTCAGTAACTATTCAAAGTTAGAAAGGCAGTGAAAAAAGTGACTTATGGCCTCCCAAAGGTGTTTTTTCAGGAGGCCATTGGACTTTCTTGTTTTTTTCTTTTGAAGACATTTTGCTTCTCATCAGTGGTAGGATTCAAAAAATCTTACTACTGGTTCTGTGGGCGTGGCTTGATGGGTGTGGCAAGGGAAGGATACTGTAAAATCTCCAGTCAGAGGGGGTATTTGCCGGTTCTCCGAACTACTCAAAATTTCCACTACCGGTTCTCCAGAACTGGTCAGAACCTGCTGAATACCCACCTCTGCTTCTCATCCAAGAAGCTTCTTTATCTCTGACCGGATAGTGGGGAATGAAAGGATTTATATTCCTTGCAGACAACTGGCAATCTGCATTTTTTTAGAGGGTGCAGATAGAGGATGCAGATTATCAGCTATCTGCAAGGAATATAAATCCTTCTATTCCCTACTATCCTGTCAGAGCTGAAGAAGCTTCTTGGTTGTCCTTTGGGACAACCATGACCTGGATTACTGAAAATCTCTATAGACTTTTGATTTATGGCCTGTCTTCACACTTAATGACTGTTGCAGCACCCCCATGGTGACATTATCAAAATTTGGGTACTTGGCAATAGGCATATATTTATGGCAGTTGCACTGTCTCAGGGTCATGTGATCATGATTTGTAGCCTTCGACAAGCAAATTCAATGGGGGAAGCCAGATTCAGTTAACAGCTGCACAATTCACTTAACAACTACAGTGATTCACTTAACAAGTGTAGCCAAAAGATCGTAAAATGGGGCAAAGCTCATTTAACAGCTGCTTTGCTCAGCAGTGGAAATTTGGGGCTCAATTGTGGTCATAAGTCAAGGACTATCCGTATCTTGTTACTACAAGGTAGAGAGCTGGTTTTTTTATGTGGAGAGATTATATTATCCCAGGTCTAAATCTTAACATTCTTTTGTAAAGTATAAAATGTGTCTTTCTTCATCTCTGCTCATCTTGTGAACACAATTCTAAATACTTTCTCTGGATTCAAACATCACGTTAGCCCATAATGTGATTTGTTCTGTTTTGATGTAGCATCTTATGTGAACTCTGCCACAAGGGTTTTAAGCAATGTTTACAGCTTAGCATGCTGTGTGAGCAACCTTCTCACTATACCCTCAGTTAATCCCTACACTCAGGTGAATGTTCTTCTGATTCATCTCTGTATATGATTATACGTGCCATAGAATCACACGACTCTCATTCTTCTGTTTTACCAATAGAATATCGCACAAATTGAGCTCAACAGAAAATACACCCTAGTAATCTGGAGGGATCTCACCTAACCTGTTTTCCTCCATTCCAATTTTTTTACCTTTCTGGGTCTTGGCATTCAGTGGGACAGTCCCAGGGTCGGTGGCACTTTGGGTTGGATCTCCCTGAGGAGTACCTCTCTGTGTTCCAACTTGGGTTTTCTTGTCTTCTTCTACCTTGCCCTGACCATCTACTGGCAGTATCTTGGGGGTTTTGTGGTTCCTTGATATTGGGATATCCTGAGCTGCTACTTTGCATGCTGTCTTCTTGGCTGGTCCAGTCCTCAAGCTTGCTCGGCTTTCTGATACTCTGCCTCCCCAAACTTGCAGTGCTCTGGGTGCTTTCATCTTCAAGAGGAATTTCATGAACTTTGTGTTCATCCAAGGTAGCATCTTGCTGGTCTTCAGATTTCCTGGGCATGTCCTCAATTTTGCGTTGTCTTACATTTGAATGCTCATGAAGTACAATTGGCTCTATTTCTCCAGCTAGAAAAAGAAAAGAAAATAATCAGGCATGCTCTTTTGCTGCTATTAAATCCTACACCTTTTCCATGTATAACTGCTAATCAGGGGGGGATTCAAATTTTCTAACAACCGGTTCTGTGGGCGTGGTTTAGTTGTTGGGCGTGGCTTGGTGGTCATGTTATTGGCTGGGCGTGGTCAACTCCATATCACTCACATCGAGGCATGCATCTCCTTGCCTGGCCTCTCATAACTGTGGGGATGCTGCAACAGTTGTAAGTGTGAAAAATGGTCATAAGTCACTTTTTTCAGTGCCATTGTAACTTTGAATGGTCACTCCACACAAGCAAAGTACCAGCAAAGGAGGGGGAAAAAACTCCAGAGAAGTTCCTGAGACAGGAAGTCTAGTCCTGCCAAGAATGTAATAAGGGTTAACGGAGAGGCAGTTTCTGTAAGCAACACCAGAATGTTTCCTTCCTGCCTTCCTTACAGGATTAGGCCAGTAATTTCTTCTAACAACCAGTTCTCCGAACTGCTTAGAATGTTAACAACCATTTCTAGTGAATAGGTGCGAACTGGTAGAATCCCACCTCTGCTGCTAATGTTTACTACTTCTGTTAAAAGGGAATAATAGGTACACTAAGCACTAAGTCCATTTCAGGAAGACCTTAATTCATTAACACTAGTTTAGGTCCATGGATTCACCTCTGTTATATTCTATATTGAAGAGAACTGGATTTGGAGATGTAGTCACAGGTTGTGACATACTTCAGGGCATTCCCTCCTAGTAAATAAAAATTACATATATTTTAAATTATCACAAATATTTTTGAGTGCAAAGGGAACCAGGCCGGTAGGAAGTGAAATGAGATGGTAGAATCAACAATATCATTTGAGTGTATTGAGCGAATGACGGTTTTAAATGGTGTAGTAAACTGCCTGCAGATTTTACTGAAAAGTGGCATTGTAAACCATTGGGTAGAACAATTACATTTACGCTTTGTTTTTAAACTTGCATCTCTCTCTCTCTCTCTCTCTCTCTCTCTCTCTCTCACACACACACACACACACACACACACACACACAAACACTAACCTGCATTTTGAAATTATACATATCATTCTGCTGTTTTTGTAGCCCAATCTTCCACAACTGGTGGCTTCCAGACCAGTTACACTGAACTGCAATTCCCCGAATTGTGAGCAAAAGTGGTCTTGCAGAATTTTGGGAATTGTAACATCTACACATTTGGAAACTATTGAAGTGAGAAAGGTTGGTGACTGTAGGAAACAGATCAAACCAGCTATGGATTCAAATAGCAAATTGTGTGTGTAAAAGTATTTTAAAATTCGGTAGGAACTTTTGCCATACTTTCTATGACTGCAGTTTGACAAAAGAGCTAACAGATTCTAACTGCAATTGAAGAATGATACCAAATTTTAGAAATATGTATAAATTCTAGTCCTAAATAAACTAAACTTAAGCCAACACTAATTCCACCTTTGCCACTTGAATGATATCTGATTTAAGCATGGTATATAAAATCATACATTGCAATGTCCTACCTGTCAATGAATACTTCAGCTTCAACCATAACAACACAAGAGCACACAATAGATACAAACTCAAAGTTAACCGCACCAAACTTGATTGCAGGAAATACGACTTCAGCAATAGAGTGGTCAATGTCTGGAATACTCTACCCGACTCTGTAGTCTCTTCCCCAAACCCCAAAAACTTTAACCTTAGACTGTCTACTATTGACCTCACCCCTTTCCTAAGAGGTCTGTAGGGGGCGTGCATAGGCGCACCAACGTGCCTACCGTCCCTGTCCTATTGTTTCTCTTATTCTTCTTTTATTTTTCTTATATGTACCCATTTCATGTATTCACAACTATGTATACACTTATACTTATTATCTTGTAAACAATTGGCAAATCAAATAAATAAATAAATAAATAAATAAATAAATAATAGATTTTCAAAAATAGAGTAGAAGAGCTTTATAACTAAAAAGAAAAAGTATAATAGAAGCATATGCTATAATAATATGGCTCCTTAAATATGGTGTTTAAGCTTCTAAATAACATCATGTGTATCCATGTGTATAATTGGATGGATGTTCTGCCTTTCTTTCAAGGAATTATTAAAACATTTATAGGCGTTATTCTCTTTTATCTTCCTAGTAACTTTGAAGCATGCTGACTCACCCGTAGGCATCCAATTAAAATACCAGGCTAGAGTGGATATCTTCAGTCAAAAACCATTACTTATCTCTGGGTTAACAATGCTGTGATTTATTTTGCTTCTTTTGATTTCCATAACTAATATCTAGAATTTGGAAATATTACATATGGCACAATATCCGGTCACATTCAGAAAACAGATCCCACCCGATTAAGAGAGGCTACTGAATTAGGGAACAATAGTTGCAGCTCAAGCCCAAATACATCATAGTATACTTTTGAATCACCTGTTAGTCACCATTCTTCTGCACCTGCCTGGCAAGCCAGAAATAACCACTCAAGTTATTATCAACTCAGGAACAACTGCCAAGTTTATGCATTTAAAATTTATCAAAGATCAAGGAATACCTAGCTTTAACCTCTGCTGATAGTTGAAACTATTGATGGGTGACCTTTACATTCAGGACCAAACCCAAAATTGGCATATGTCTGATTCAACAAATACATGCAAAGGTAAGAAAAAACAACTATATATAGGTGTAGACAAGGTGAAACTTAGCTTAATGTCAGTAACTGCAAGAAGGATCTTGGGAGTCCTAGTGGACAACCACTTATGAGCCAATAGCATGTGGCAGCAGCCAAAAAGCCAATGCAATCCTAGGCTGCATTAATAGAGAGAGAGAATCAAGATCATATGAAGATTTAGTACTGCTTTACAAAGCCTTCGTAAGACCACAGTTGGAATACTTCATCCATTTCGGGTCACGACAATATAAAAAAGATGTTGAGACTTTGGAAAGAGTGCAGAGAAGAGCAACAAAGATTACTAGTGGACCAGAAGCTAAAAGGTATGAAGAATGGTTATAGGAATTGGGTATGTCTAGTCTAATGAGGGGGAAGGATTGTGGGGACATGATAGCACTGTTCCAATATTTGAGGGGCTCCTACAAAGATGAAGGGGTCAAACTATTTTCCAAAGCATCAAAAGGCAAGACAAGAAACAATGGTTGGAAATTAACCAAGGAGGGAAACAATCTAGAACTAAAGAGAATTTTGCTAAAGGTGAGAGCAATTAATCAATGGAATATCTTGCCTTCAGAAATTGTGGGTGTTCCATCCTTGAAGGCTTTCAAAAAGAGATTGGGCAACCATTTGTCTGAAATGGTATAGGGTCTCCTCCTGCTCAAGCAGGGAGTTTGACTAGAAGACCTCCAAGGTCCTTTCCAACTCTATTATTCTATGTTCTAACATCAAGAATTGGTGGAGTTCTACTTAGCATGCATATCTTTTTCTGTAGTTTTACCCAATATAAAAAAGGGGCTAGGTTTCACTAAACCTTTTGCTGATGCTGCTTGTCTTGGTACTGGGTTTAGTAGGGCAGATATTACTGTTTTTGTAAAAAGTAAGTGTCTTAAACAGTTAAAAGAGTGGTTGTTACTAAAGTGGTAAAAAAAATTATTTATTTATTTATTTGATTTGATTTGTCAATCGCTTACAAGATAATAGATATAAGTATAAACATGAGTAAGAATACAGGAAATAGGTACAAATAAATGGGGACAATAGAACAGGGACGGTAGGCACGATGGTGCACTTATGCACGTCCCTAAAAATGATAGCATTTTCTGTTTCAATTCTGTTAAGCATCTTGTTCGGTAAAATTTTGTTATAAATTAAATATAAAAATTTTAAGTGAAGCCTATTCTTGTGTATTTAATTAGTTATAAACCAAAAGCGTGTTTGCACACAACAGATTTGTAAATCAAGTGCAATTTTATAAAAGGAGCTAAAAGGAATGTTAATATTGCATCTTTTATATTGTATTTAGTCTTCAGATTTCATTGAATCTTGTGCTCCTTTCTTTTATTTTCAAAAAGCAGGCTGGATTATTGGAAAAAAAAAACCCACTATAAATAGAGTTTGATATAAATTAATTTCCCTCAACTACCTGGAAATATTGTAGAAAAAAACCCTGACAAAACCTAGTTATTGCTAGTCTATTATTGCTATTCTCTCTAGAAATTGCAGCAGTTGTTTTTAGAGGAAACTTTTCTTGACCTTCCTAGAAAGGGATTGCTGCTCTGGTATTGCATGCTATTTTGTCATAAATTATTTCAAGGAGGTTCAGGGGCTTCCATAAAAAATGACACTGCAACAAAATAAATAAAAGCCTTGCTATCTACCCCTGAAAAGAAAAAGAAACAAGATAATGGCATTATGCCCCGGGCATTCTGGCTACTGTAGTCCTACCCATTCAGGTACCAAGTGTGAGCTTCTAAATGAGGTTATAGCCATGCAGGCACCTGTCTCGTTTCATAGGGACTCCATTGTTCTTGCTTTCTTTTTTTATTCCACTGAAAAACCTCACATTTGAAGTCTCCTAAGGAAGCATCTTTCTTTTTTCATACTGGATTTTTTTTAATAAAATCCCACAATGAAAAGTTAGACAACATATGTCCAAAACAACATGGGCATCTTGATAAGAATCACTGTTAGCATAGGCATCCTTAAATGATTGGTATACACTTAGGTCAACATTTCATGATCTGCAATATACCTTTGTGGTAATAGCCCCTGGTTACCTCTTTACTGACACAACTCAACATTTAATTCTAACTCTTTTCTCTCCTTTCCAAGAAATTTTTCAGCACCTGGGGCTGAAGTCTCCAAATCAGTAGGTACATTGTTTTGCTTGCTGATATATGAACATACTCCACCCTACCTAAGTTTTAAAAAAACAAGTTTAACCCACATTTTAATTGCACACTAATTCCTGCCCTTCACTTGACCAACATAGAAAACACCAGATAAACAAAGTTTCGTTTTTGGCTCAGCATATTTTTTTCTGTACTTTGTCCCTGGAAACAATAACTGGGCATCTTATATATTTTTAGATATATATATAGTCCAAAACATTCATACATATTCATTTTTACAATTATTTTATAACATGTCCCTTATATCCATTTTACAGATAAAAACCTAAAATTGAGATATAGTGGACGTGATGGCTCAGTGGCTAAGACACTGAGCTTGTCAATCAGAAAGGTCGGCAGTTCGGCAGTTCAAATCCCTAGCACCGCATAACAGAGTGAGCTCTCGTTACTTGTCCCAGCTTCTGCCAGCTAAGCAGTTCTAAAGCATGTAAAAATGCAAGTAGAAAAATAGGGACCACTTTGGTGGGAAGGTAACAGCCTTCCATGTGCCTTCGGCATTTAGTCATGCTGGCCACATGACCACGGAGATGTCTTTAGACAGCGCTGGCTGTCTTTGTAACAGAGATGAGCACCATCCCCTAGAGCCGGAAATGACTAGCACCTATGTGCAAGGGGAACCTTTACCTTTTACCTTAAGACTGGTAGAGCAACAACAAATTCCCATGACAGGGGCCCATGTCTTTCAAATACGGTACCAAATCCAAGTAGACCAACCAATAACCAATCTGGTGTAGAAATCTCTGACAGATTTCTACACCACACTTCAAAAAGTTCCAATTATATCCAGTCCTTTTCTATTTAAACCACTTATCACAAGACAGAGAATCTATGATGCTCCAGAATCATAGATTTGTTGACCGCCA